CAGACTTCTATGCAGTGGAGTATAACATAAAAGCAAATAAACACACTAACAAACATACATGACTGCAACATAAGAAAAAATAACTTGTAGTAAATTGAAAATTTTAAACATGCAGCTTTAAGTGACAAGTTAGCTAAATCCTAAACCTTTCTAAGATTCCAGAATTAAGTTTAACAAATACTAACTAAGTACAACAACATAATTAAAACAATTACGACCACACATAATAACTACTCACTAAACACAAATACATCACAGAATGTATACGAAACAAAGCACAACATAATAAAAAATAACAGTTTTTATAATCACAACTAAAAATATAACAAAAGTACAGAATACTAATACCAACAACAGTTCATAACAATACAAAAACTACAAACATAAAATAGAACTAAAGATCCAAACTAATTATACCCTCTTCTTCATCATTATCATCACTACGCCAAACAGTTGTAGGCTCATATGGTGGATACCTAAGATGCTGGGGAATTACTACATTCTGATTACCTCTATTGAGATGCTCCATATCTATGTTATATTCCTCCTCATAATTACTTTATCTCTTCATATACCCATCCATATGCTCTGTAAAATGCTCTAAGTTTTCCATTTTTTTCATTGGTGTAAATAACATTATTCAATATTCTTTCCATAAGCTGTAACTGAGAATCAGAACCACAAGTCTGACCTCGTGATGTAGAAGCCTGTGAAGTAGAGGCCCGTGAAGTACAAGCAGCAGAACTACTGGGAAATCCACCCTTCCAACCAAAAATAGAATGATGTGAATAAGTCTTCACATTCACACTGGTAATGGGCTTCAGTGGTTGTAAGATCTCCTCCCAGTTGTCATATCTAACACCAGCCTACTCGCATAATAAAAAGATCAAGGATGTAAATCCTAAACGTGCAGTAGTAGCAGTGACAACAGAACTAGTAATAACTCCATAAATCAATCCTTCTATGTCAATAGGCTCGGAGTACTAAATACAATAGTTCAAAGTTGCTCTATCTCGAGTCACTTCACTCAAATGATTTGTAGACAGTAGTCGAGCAAAAATAAAATAATGTCATGCCTTTGCAGTGGCATCTAACTTTGAAGTAGAAAATTTTACCCTTCTTTCATTTGTAATTTTCCATAGTCCCCTCCCAATAGTCAAAGATGAAATAATCTCATCTAGCTTCTCCTCAATAAGACTATAGTTTGAATAAAAACACAACTTACTCAGGGGCAATTGATAAAATTGATTAATTATTTTCAAGAGGAAATAATACTGTCTTCCCCCTCACTATGACTCTTTCATCAGCCTCTGAGAGATTAGCATAGAAATCTCGTACCACTGAATTCACGACGACAGCAGAAAAATAATAGAATCGCTCCCACTAACAGCTAACTATCAACTCTTCAATAGTTTCTCCTGGATTTTTAAAACATCACTCAGGAATTAATTTTCTTGAATGCAGTGCATCGTTATACCAATCCGGGGCTCTCAAACTAACAAATTTACTTGAATCAAACGGAATGCATCGTTATACCAATCCGGAGCTCTCAAACTAACAAATTTACTTGAATCAAACGGAGCTTTCCCCTTACTTCTCTTCATTCTTGGTGTCATTTTCTAAAAAATGTATAAAATTTAAAATAAATTCCTCAATGAACTCCAAATCACTAAACTCAACTTTTGAAAGCTTAAACTAACAAATCCATGCATTTTCCATCAAATTTTCCAAAATTTTCACCATGAATAGTGATTTTCGGGTAGCTCATGAATGTGCTCAAAATATATGGTGAAAATATAAAAATTTGTGCATTGAAGTGAAGCTCTTACCTCAAGAAGATCAAATCTAACAAATTTGGCTTGAATCCACAAAGAAATCTTCAAAATAGGTGATGCCTTAGCCTAGAAATCACAAAAAAATTGAGGAAGAAGGCGAGCTGAGGTGCATTAATTGAGTTTTTTGGACCATAAATTCACTTAAAACTGTTTGCGAACCAGTTTTTGTGAATCGACGCTTAAGCTTGAATGGTTTGGCGCTAAGGCGTTAGTCTATCAATTTAGGCAGCGCTTAAGTGCGAGTTTTGGTGCTTAGGCGCCAGTGCACAGATTTTGATTTTTTTCAATTTAAGTGAAATGCACTCCTAGCCTAAGTCAACCAACCCTCTGTGGTCTCAAAAAACTATATATACTATTTTCTTCCCTCTTAATTCTCCTCTTACTCAAGATTCATTGATTTAAACTAATTCAATTTGACACTAAATAACACAAAATGCCACACAAACAAAACATTTATATTAATTCACGAACAATTACAAACAATTTCAAATACATAAATTCTCAATCCAAATAATCTTAGATGAGAAAATTCCTAGCACAAACACTAAACAATACTAACATATAAAAACACATTAAAACACACTTAACATTAACAAATAGTAAACACATAAACACAAATTCACAAACTTAATTCCATTCTCTTGTTGATGGAACAAATTTTGGCCTATCGTTAGTATCTCCTTCAGCATTTGGAATGTACATCTGAAAGAACAAACGATGATTAATAACTTTGGTTGAATTTTCTTCAATCCACTTGCTCTTCAGATACATTGCCTTGTCTGCTTCTTCTATAAAACTGATATGGCTAAACTGCATCTTAAGTTGCCATTTCATATGATCCAGATGTGTGTTAACTTCCATCACTTTCGCTTCAATTGAAGCTACGATAGCCTCAATATTTGTGATTTTCTCCGCTATTCCTTCGAAAATAACGCCGAGGAAACCATTATACATCTCTTGCGCACTCTGACTAATAAACTTCTTTCTCATTGCTTCCTTCCTCTTCTTCAAATCACTCTCCCAAGAACACTCTCCCAAGAAGACATTTTTAGACATTTTTCAAAACTTCTCTCTTTTCACTTAGAATTTAAGGGTTAAATGGAGGTGTGGTGAAATCTCTCTTACACGTTCAAGTTAACCAATTCACGATTAAAGCTCCTAGAAACCAAATTAACATATATTTTTTAACTTTTGCGCTTAAGCGCCAGTGTTCAATTTAGCACAGGTCAACTTAACGTCCAAACATTCGCTCTAATATGTCTAAGTCATCTTTTAAGGTCTTAGAATAATCACTAACTCAATATATGGTCAAAATACTACCAAAATTTTCTAAATCACACACAAGAACATAACAATACAAATAAACACACAGATAACTATGGGGTGCCTCCCACAAAGCGCATGGTTTAACGTCGTCAACCCGATGTAACCAGTGCTTATTCTGGTTGATCCATCATCAGAAAATCATTTAATTTATGTTGGTCACCTAAAAAGTAGGATTTCAGCCTGTGATCATTCACTTTGAATATTTTATCAATTTTAGGATCTTTGATATCCACAGCTTCATAGGGATAAACTTTCATCACAAAAAATGAAAATGAGCCCATCCACTTAAGTTTGCTTGAAAATAATATTAGTCTTGCATTGTAAATCAAAAGTCTTGCATTGTAAATCAAAATCTTGCATTGTAAATCAAAACTTGTTGCCATGGCTGAAAAATTTTATTTAGAATTCTCCAATCGTATCATATCTTCATCTTTTCTTTGTAAATCTTAACACTTTCATAAGATTCATTTCTTATCTCTTCAAGCTCATTTAATTGCAATAACCTTTTCTCGCCAGCATCTTTCAAATTGTAATTAAATTCCTTAATAGCTTAATATGTTTTATGCTCAAGTTCAACTAGTATGTGACACACTTTCCCAAATATTGGTCTGTATGGGGACATTCCTATAGGAGTTATGTATGCAGTCCTATAAGCCCACAAAGCATAGTCAAGTTTAGGTGACCAATCCTTTTTAGTTAGATTAATGGATTTTTCCAATATTCTTTTAATTTCACGATTAGATATTTCAGCCAAACAACTTATCTGAGGATGATAAACAGTAGCAATTCTATGATTTATATAATATTTCTTTAATAATTTCTTCATTACTGCATTTCTGAAATGACTTGCCCCGTCAGTTATGATTACTCTCGGCATACCAAATCTACAAAATCTATTCGTTCTTAAAAACTTTGCAACACTTTAAGCATCACATCGAGGTAAAGCAATAGTTTTGATTCATTTGGATAAATAATCTACTGCTAATAATATATATAAATTTCTGAATGATATTATAAATTGTCCCATTAAATCTAATCCCCAAACATCAAATATCTCAACTTTTAACACATAATTGAAGGGCATCTCATTCCTTCTAGAAATATTGCCTGCTCGTTGACATTGATCACAAGTTTTCATATAAGCATTAAAATCTCTAAAGAAATCTCTAAAGATTGTAGGCCATTGTAGGCCAATAAAATCCAGATTGTAAAATTTTATATGTTGTTTTATTAACACCAAAATATCCACCAAAATCAGAATTATGACATTTTTGGATAATTTCATGAGTTTCTTCAAAAGGAACACATCTTCGAATAATAAGATAATTTATCTATTTATATAAAAACGGGTCATCCCAAAAATAATTCTTAGCTTCAGATAAAAACTTTCTCTTTTGTCGGTATGTTATGCCATAGAGTATAATATCACTAATAACAAAATTCACAATGTCGGCATACCATGAAATACACCACTCATTAAGAATGAACAATTCTTTATCTAGAAAATGTCCATTAATCTCTTTTTCAAAATAGAGTGATTTTTCTAATTCAAGCCTGAACAGAAGATCAACAATTTAGATCAATAATTTCATTCTTAGCTCCTCTCCTATCTACTATTTTGAAGTCAAATTCTTGCAAAAGAAGAATCCATCTTATCAATTTAGGTTTTACATCATTCTTTTTAGGTTTTGCATCATTCTTTTTCATTAAAAACTTAATAGCAGAATGATCTGTTTGCACAATACATTTAGTTCTAATTAAATATGATATAAATTTATCAAAATTATATACTACAGTTAATAACTTTTTCTCAGTTGTGGTATAACTAATTTGAGTTTCATTAAGAGTTCTACTAGCACAGTAGATACTTTTAAAAATCTTATCATGCTTTTGTCCTGAAACAGCTCCAATAGCGTAATCACTAGCATCACACATTAATTCAAAAGGTTTTTCCAAATCTGGTGAAACTATAATTGATGTAGTGACTAATTTTTCCTTTAATAATTCAAAAGTTTTTTGACACTCTTTATCAAAATTAAAAATTACATCTTTTTTTAGTAAATGGCATAGAGGCTTAGCAATTTTTTAAAAATCTTTAAAATATCGCCTGTAGAATCCAGTATGTCCTAAAAAACTCCTAATTTCCTTCACAGTTGTTGGGTAAGGTAAATTAGCGATCACTTGAATTTTTGAAAGGTCTACTTCTGATACACCTAAAATATATAGAGTTTGATACACCTAAAATATATATAGTTTTTAGACATATTTTTATACTTATTTTTGAGATATTGCACTTTAATGAAAGGTATTTGTATGTTTTTCTTTCAGGTACAAGTAAAAATGTGAAAAATGCTGAAAGGAGTGAAAAAGGATCAAATTTGGAGCAAAAATGTGAACATGGTGCAAAAGTGTTTTGGCACCTAAGCCCGGTGAAATAAAGAAGGCCGCGCCTAAGCACCAGAGGCCCTGCGCTTAAGTGCTAGAGGCAGTTATGTGACAGTTTATTTCATTTTGCTGAATTTTAAAGGGACATTTGAGGCACGTGTTGGCTAAAGAGGGTGGTTATGACCACTAGAAACGAAAATAATATTACAAAACTT